ACACACACACACACACACACACACACACACACACACAAACTAAATAGGCATTTACACACAACACACACACACACACAAACTAAATAGGCATTTACACACAACACACACACACACACAAACTAAATAGGCATTTGTCCATTTCATTTTTAAAACAAAAAAAAAAAAATTGTGTTCCAATATATATTAAACTATCAGCTTATTAAAAGGTAATCATATATGCTCTAAATTTGACCCAAACAAATTCAAGGTTTAACTTGTAGTCTTATGGACCGCTTTTGTACTACCAATTTTTTTTTTAAATTAATATAATTTATATTAAATTATTTATTTATTTACTTAACAGTTTAATTAAATTTATAATACAGCTAAAATAATTTAATTTTTATAAAATCTTAAGTGAATTATATTTAATAAATACAACTTTTGAGCTAATTTTTTTATGTGCTTATCAAAATTTATGTAGAATTAAGAACTTGATTTATGAAAAATCAAAAAAGAAAACAACTGCTTAACAAAGAATAAAAACATAGATAGAGAAAAAAATTTGAAAGAAGAAAATCTCTCGTAGACAACACCGACCTTTTTAAAAACTAGTGCAAAGAACATATTACATTATACAACAATAACAAGTATTAGTTGACATTTATCCAAATGCTCACAAGCTAACTATGAATCATAATACAGAAAGCCAACACTCGTTAGCCTAATGAGTATTAGGTCCTCAAGTTGGCAATATATATATATATATATCAAAGTGTGTGTGTGTGTGCGCTCGCGCGCGAGCGCGCGTGCCGCAAGCCTTAGCCTACTGGTGGCGGGGTGACTGTAAGTCCCCTCAGGTCAAGGGTATAATCCCATCGTGGAGCATAGGTTTTGGAATATTACACATGGCGCAGACACCCTATCATAGATGCCTTAGAGCAAAGGAGAAGCGGTATTTGGGGACTGCACTTAAATATCGTTACCTTTTAGAGAATATATATATATATATATATATATATATATATATATATATATCTGTGTGTGTGTATGTTTTTCTTAAGAGATAGAGTTTCATGCATGTTATCCATGAGTAGGTCTTATGCTTCTCCGCCTCATGCTTCTGTCACAACACATGACATCAAAAACTATAACAACCGCCATCGACCCTCCAAGTCCCACACCAAATAATAATCCCAACACAATCTTATAACTTTTGTTCTCTGAAGTTGTGCCACCCAAACTTGGAGCTGATGGCGCCTTATTATTCACTGCTGGAACTGATGTATTGCAAGGATGCCAACAAAGTCCCTTATTTCCTTCAAATGAAGTGCTTTGGAAAGTGGAGAATTGGCCACCCGACGGAATTTCTCCCACCAACTTGTTGAAGGAGAGATTTAAAAAAGACAAAAAATGTAAAGAAACCAATTCTTGTGGGATTTGACCAGAAAGGCTGTTCATTGAGAGATCGAGTGACTCGAGTTGTAATAGATTTCCTAGCTGTGGAAGAACTCTTCCTATCAAGTGATTCTGTGATAAGTTGAGCACTTGGAGAGAGACAAGTTGGCCAATGGATATAGGTACATCTCCTTCAAAATTATTGTTGGAAATATCTATTGACTTTATAATTGTCCAAAAATTTTGTATCGTCATTATTTGCCCCTTTTCCATGATGGTAAGCACAACAAGAGAATAGTAAACACCCGACAATTTAGATGCAGAAGATTTTATTACGTCCGTTGTATTTATCATCATTGACTTAAAAGTGCTGAAGCAAATTGCACTTATATTGCCACTAAAATTGTTGGATGAGATGTCAAGGACATTCAATGCAGGAAAAGTATAATTTGTTTTCTGGTTTCCATCAAGAGGCCCAATTAACCCGTAGAACATATTAGATCTTAGAATAAGAACCCTTAGCGTGGAAATATTTGCCAACCAATAAGGAAATACATCCTTTAAGTTATTGTTGCCCAGGTCTAGAAGTTCAAGTGATCGACAATTAGACAGAAACCTCGGAAGCAATCCCTCAAGTTGGTTGTCTCTAAGATTTATAATTTGCAGCTTACAATTTGGAGTAACTCCATGAGGGATAGCTCCATGAAGCTGATTTTCTCTCAGATTTAGCATGCGGAGACCACATCCTTCTTCGAATAAACATGATGGAATCGAACCAGTTAACTTGTTATCAGATAAATCAAGCATCTCCAAGTTGGTCAAGTTGCAGTTGAATGTTGGGATTTCTCCAGTCAATTTATTTTTTGAGAGGTCCAAATATCCGACATAGTTGAGACTAATTCTTTCTAATAAACACGGTGGAATAGAACCATTTAGCTTATTATTTGATAAATCGAGTGTCTGAAGGTAAGTAAAGTTGCAGATGAATGTTGGGATTTCCCCAGTCAGGTTATTGTTTGCATAGTTCAAAGAAGCGAGAGTCACGAGACTACCTCTTTCTAATAAACATGGCAGGATAGAACCAGTTAACTTGTTATGAGATAAACTAAGCATCACCAGGTTGGCCATGTTACAGATGAATGCTGGGATTTTACCAGAAAGGTTGTTCATTGAGAGATCTAGTGACTTGAGTTGTGTCAAATTTCCTAGCTGTGGAAGAATTTTTCCAGTGAAGTGATTCCGTGATAAGTTGAGCACTTCGAGAGAGACAAGTTGGCCAATGGATATAGGGATCTCTCCTTCAAAACTGTTGTTTGAAATATCTACTAACTTTATAGTCTTCCAAAACTTTTGTAGCATCATTATTTGCCACTTGTCCATGATGGTAGGCACAACAACAGGGTAGTGAACATCCAACGAAGTAAGTGCAACAGGTTTTATTGTGTTTGTTGTATTTATCATCATTAACTTAAAATTGTTGAAGAACCTTTCACATAAATTGCCACTAAAGTTGTTGGATGAGATGTCAAGAACATTCACTGTAGAAAAATTATAATTTGTTTTCTGGCTTCCATCAAGAAACCCAACTAACCCGTAGAACTTATTAGATCTTAGAATAAGAACACTTAGCGTGGAAATATTTCCCAACCAATAAGGAAATACATCCTTTAAGTTATTGTTACCTAGGTCTAGAAGTTCAAGTGATCGACAATTAGACAGAAACCTCGGAAGCAATCCCTCAAGTTGGTTGTCTCCAAGATTTATAATTTGCAGCTTACAATTTGGAGTAACTTCATGAGGGATAGCTCCAAGAAGCTGATTTCCTCTCAGATTTAGCATGCGGAGACCACATCCTTCTTTAAATAAAGATAATGGAATCAAACCAGTTAACTTGTTATCAGATAAATCAAGCATCTCCAAGTTGGTCAAATTGCAGAATCTTGGGATTTCTCCAGTCAATTTATTTTTTGAGAGGTCCAAGTATCTGAGACTCTTGAGATTACTACTTTCTACTAAGCATGGTGGAATAGAACCATTTAGCTTGTTATTCGATAAATCAAGTGCCTCAAGGGAAGTCAAGTTGCAGAAGAATGTTGGGATTTCGGTCAGTTTATTGTTTGAGAGAGACAACCAAGCCAAATCTGTGAGATCCTTTATGAACTCCGACCCCACAACTCCACTGAAGTTATTCGAAGCAAACTCAAGACTATAAAGCCTTGATATCTTAAAAAATGACATTGGAATTTGCCCCTTTGGAATTTGCCCCTGCCCCTGCAATTTATTGTTACTAAGATCAACATAAGTCAACATAGAGGATGCATTTGTGAACTCTGCAAGTTGCCCAGAGAATTGGTTTTGCCGAAGTAGCAAGTATCTCAAGGTCGGCAGTGTAAACACAGTAGCAGGAACTGGTCCAGAGATATCATTATAACTAAGATCAAGATATTCGAGATCACAAAGCTTGTCGTTCAGACAAATGTGAGTATTTAGTGATGATAGACAATTATGCGGTGGCTCAGAAATCATTGAAAATGGAAGCAAAAATATAACAGAACCGCTAAACTTGTTGTCTGATAGACTCAACCATTTTAGCTGTGATAGATTCCCCATCGAAGGCGGTATTCTACCTGAGAATTGACATCCCCCGAGATCCATATAAGTTAAGAACTTGAGGTTGCCTATTGTATCGGGTAAATTCCCATAAAAGTTGGTGGCAAAAAGATTCAATTTTTCTAAATTACTGTCCTCTGGAAAATCAGGAAGAGAACCAGAAAGCATTTGATTGTACGAGATTTGAAGATCTTTCAAATTTCTTAGAAGAAAGATTTTGCTCGGAAAATACCCAAAGAGGGAACAACCTTGCATGCTGAGCACCTCAAGTTCGGGGGTGGAATTGGCCAGAGCTCCACACCATTCACCACCGTATGCCGAGAGATTTACATAGTCAAGATGAAGTTCCCTCAAATTGCTCATATTTTGCATAAATATTGGGTTAGCAGTGAAAAAAAGATCATCATTGTTGGAGAGGTCGAGGAAAGTCAATTTTGTCAAGCGAGAGATACCTGCGGGAACCTTTCCAGTAAATTTCGAGGAGGAAAGATTGAGGCTTGAAAGATTTGCAAGCCTTTCCCACCCAGAATCGAGAATAGATCGGTGGTAGAACTCGTTATAGGAAAGATTGAGTGTTTGTAAAGATGTGAGATTGAAGAGGATAGGATCGATCGTACCGGCGATGGATCGATTGCTTAGGTCGAGGCCAGTGACCCGCCTCGATTTATCGCATGTCACGCCCACCCAGAAGCAGCAGTCCGTCCCTGGCTGCCACGTATCGAGCTCACCAGTCTCGCTTCAGTTGGAGAAGCGCCGAGCTCTCTTTCTGGAGGCATTGTTCAAGAGTTTTGCAGTTAGCCACCGAGAAAAGCTCCAAAAAGAGAGAGAGTGCCAGAAGTAGTAGGAGGAGGAAGACGACAGAGCTGCTGGAATGAAGTGACTCCATACAGAAGAGGGCGTAGAGGTTTGATTTGGGGGAAGGCGGCAAAGGTGGAAAAAGGCAATAAGGGATTACCCAGGTCTAAAGTCATTTGAAAGACTCGGACGTGCTCAAACGAGGCGCTGGTTGACCCCAGCGAGTCTAAAGTCAATTGGAAGACTCGGTTGTGGACTCAAAAGAGGCGGTAGTTGACTTGAAGTCTATGTGGCTGGCATTTACGTACATGCCACCCAACTCTTATATATCTACATGCCAAACACCTATAATTTGTTATTTATATTTATATCACCCCAATCTTTCCTATTACATCAAAATTGTAATTATCTAACTTTTAAAAAATAAAATATTTTTTTTTTTCAAATATAAATAGTGTGGCACACATGTAAGAATTAAACTTTTTTAAGGGCTAAATTATGTACATACACAAGAATTGAGTGACATCTATGCATATCTTCCTAAATTAGTTTTTATTCTTCTTCTTCCAATTTATTATTATAATTTTTCAATCAATCAAAATTTTTAATATTAAAATAATGTATTATGTAAAAATATTTAGTTATAAAAATTAAAAAAAAATATTTGAGAATTTCGCCTATTATTTCTAAAAACTAATTTATATAAAACTTCTATATTTTAGAGGAAGGGAAGGGAACTATGAAGGAGTAAGAATTTGAATTGGTGAAGCAAAAAAGAGAATAAAAGTGGGTGAGGAATAATTTATTGTCAATCAAATCCTACATGTTAAATGACTCAGATCGAACTTCAATCAAGTCTAAACTCAAATCAAATTGAGCTCAAATTAAATTTAATATAAATAAAATAACTCATATTTATGATAATAAATATATTTTTATTCTTTATCAAAACATAAATAAAAAATAAATAGAATATGAAATGAAGTGTTGGGGACTATGCAAAAACTAGCAATACATCACATCTCATACCCCCATGGTTAGTTTAAGATTCACAAGATATTTCAACTAGACTTAGAAATTAGGCAAGCTCGTCTTAGCGTGGGTTTGGTTTATTCGAGATTCGGCTAGTCAAAACAGGTTCAGTCCAAGAGAAATAATATAAACCATATAAATTATCAATTTAAATTAGCTGAAATGATATAGTATTTATTTTTCCTACAAAAATTGGTGAATTTTTTTATCTTTTTGATTTTTTTAAAGAAATTTTACATCTATACCATAAATTTTTGCTGTAACAAAATCCTAAAATTTGATATTTATATTTATAATACTTTGGCGCAAAAGGCTACGCATCAAAATGCATCTTTCATTTTCTTACAAAGTGAGTAATAAAAAAAAAATATATATATATATATATATATATATATTTTTTTTGGTAACATAAAAAATTGACAGTTATGAAAGTAAATAAAAAAGTTTAGGTGCTAGATATGGAGATGTATAAAAATTGTGTGGCATGCATATAAATGCCCCAAAAATAAATAATATTCAAGCTCTAACATAAGGTGTTTAGACAGTTGCATAAGAATGCAAAATTTGAATGGATTGACATAGCAAGAAAAAAATTCAATGGTTGAAGGAGCTTCTTAGAAACACCAATTCTCATGTTACATCAATGCCTCTTTGGAGTGACTAACTAAGAAAAATCATCTCCCTCATGACTTTAATCTGCAAACAGTTATATTTTCCATCAAAATTTTGAAGACAGGCTAAGAAATATTTGCTCTAAAATATAAGTAATATAAATTACATCAAAATAATCTTACAGACAATAGCAATATGTTCTACAACATGTCATTCATATCCCCAACGTATCAAGCCTCAAATAGAGAATTTGTCAACTATTTAAAAAAAATGACAAATTGAAATATAAAGATTTAACTTTAATATAAACATTTTAAAAAGAGAAGAAATGATTTCAATAAGCCAATAGTTATTAACATGTACCTAATTCTTATTTGAATAACAACATCAAAACTTTAGACTGCTGGCGAGTGATATCTATTTAAGTCGACTAACCAAACTTATATGCAATGCACTAAACTGAATGTGCATATAAGAAAAGAATTTGTTCACAAAAAGAGTTATGTCGTTCAATGCTTGTGTTAAACAAATGACGAGGACAAAGATAAAGAACAAAAAATTGTGAAATAAAGATAATTTAAGATGTTTCATTTACATATTAAGAGTAGAAAGATAATGAATGAGTTTCTTGATCCATTGAGTCTACCATCTCAATCCATAAGCTTATAACGTTTCTCTTGGACACCAGTCACCCCCATCTGGATCTCTATTATGGTATGGAGTGGGACCTAAAGCAACATTGGAAAGATGCATCTCAGTCTTTAAGCTATTCAGGGCATCATCAGGAAGTAATACTTTCATGACGTTACCTCAATTTGGGGGATTTCTTTTAAAGGTTTGTCTGCAAAATATGCATATAAAGCTCTCAACACAGCCTGTGCATAGAAAAAAAAAATGATATTCACTAAAAAAAGAAATATTTCAACAAATTGAAAAAAATAATTTCATAATACAGGCCTGGTGAGCAATAACCACCACAGGCGCGCGCTGTCTTTCAAGCTCAATAATTACGGGTTCTAGCCTGAGTGTGTGAAAGAAATAGTAAGATCGATAACAACAGTTAGGTTGAAAGATTGAATTCCAACAAAAATAAGCTCTTTTATCCATCAACCTTTGTATGATATCAAGATATGATTCACCGCGAGGATAACGATAGCGTAACTTGTCTTTCTGACGAGATCTGTAGTCATAAGAAAATAATTTTTATTATAATCTAACAAGTAAACAAAAAAAAAAAATTACATGCATAGCACACTATTCTTATGCATCACATCGGAACTTTCATATTTACATATATAACATTTTGTTGTTAAACTTTAGGATGAAAATGTGTATTTCACTTTTAAAAAGTTGTAATTGTGCTATTTTCACCGTAATCTTAAAAATTTGAGTGCTTTCTGTGTAAATATGAAAGCTTTGGTGTGAAAGATAGACAAGTACATAAGAATTATGTGCTATGTATGCAATGCCCAAAAAACAAAAGAACAAGCGGATGTATTGGGATATTTACTCTTGCATCACATAGGCAAACTTACACAAAATCTAAATCACTAATTATGCTTCTATGCTGTGCAACTTTTTGCTACATATTCTATGAAAAAAATTAGTGTATAGTGTATAACTAATCATGAATTCCAAAAAAAAAAAGAAGTTAAAAATTGAAATCCAAATAAAGACATTAGGTAAGACTAAAAAGTAATATCCTGAAGTTTATTTTCTTACTCATATTCCTCAGGCATGTTCCTCTTTATCTCTTCGTAAGTCATTCCATCACATGCTCCTGCATTTATCTCTTCGAGAGCACGCCATTGTATCTACAAGCATAGGCAGCTAATTTATAACCTTAAATTCATAGGAAAGAAAGTTGAAATACAAAAGAATGACAAATTTCTTAGAGAAATGGATACTTTTTCATATCCATATAAATGAAGACCTTGGGGAATCCAACAATCGGAGCTGCTGTTAATATTGTTCGTTGTAGAGTGCTTGTCCATATCTAAGCCATGTCAAAACAAAAGTTCAAGAAAGAAAAAAAAAAATATGTATATCATAAGTAGGTAGCTCTGTCTTTGAAGATTGGCAAACCTAAGTACTAACATCGTAGTAATTAAAACAAAAAATTAAATGACGATAACAATCAGCATTAGTCTTTTAAGGTTATCAAAATTATATGAAAAATTATAATAGTAAATACCACACTTATTGATATTTACTATAAGAAAATACACTTATACTTGTTTTGGCTTTTATCAGCGGAGATTTCCCACAGGAAAATTCTCTGATAATCTCAAAGAAATATTTGTTGGAAAATCAATCGGATTTAAGTGGCATATTTTGCTGGATACATATTCAAATTGTCGACCCCACTCTCTCATTCCTCATTTTTTCCCAAACTGCCATATGAAACCCCTAGGATGGACGATCACTATTCCAATGTCTTTCTTGCCCAAACTCAGCCATAATGGTCCTATCATAATCTATCGAAAGCTTGAGCAATTCCTCCGCTACAAAAGATTTTTTCTCTTAACCGTTCACTCCTAAAAATTACTCCATTTCTCCTCTTATGTTTTATTTAGGTTTCTTTAATGTTTAGATAAGTTTTTGTTATGATTAATATCAAGTATTTTTCTTTTTTCACATGTTTGATTTTTGTGCGTACATGATATTGTTGTTAATTTGTTTTTCATATATTTCTTCTCCAAGAATCATGCTGAGGCGGGGTTGTTGGAGAGATTTTTATGCCTTGTTGAAGACTAAAGGGTTCTTAGGTTGAAAGCCTGCTAGAAGATTCCCGCTAGTTTATCTTTAAGAGTAAAAAAAGAGAGGTACTGGGTGGATTTTCTAGTCGCTATAATTACTTATTATTACCTTCAAATAAGGAAGTGTGTAATGAGAAGAAATTACTTGTTATCATGAAAATAAAGTTTACTATTAATTTTTGTGAAAATAGAAGCATTATTAGGAGAAATAACATGAATTATTATTCCTATATACTACAAGTATTCCAAATAGAAATATGAAGAAGAATTGACTTGGGGGAGTCCCTGAAAAAAAGATGAAGCACTAGCAATCTTTTCTTAAATCTGAGACCGATAGTAAATCCATTGAAAAAAAAAATTCAACAAATTTTTAGTGCACTAAAATGCTATTTTGGCAAAAGACAATAGATATACGCAAGAAATGTGTTGGAATATTTAATTGCGGCGTATGTTGGCCATTTTTAGAGGATTTTCCATTGGAAAACTACAATTTTCTTTGTGGTTCATAAAGCTTGTTGATACACTTAGTAAATTGGCAACATTTTAAGCATTGTCAGCATAAATTTTGGTGGGCTTTTGTTCCACAATAATGTACATGAGCATAAGAAACACAAAATTGTTTGCTTCTGAAAGGTGACGATAGACATGAAATTGAGTAAAGGCCTTTCTTTTTTTTAGTTTTAGAAGTTCTAACTCAAACTACATGCAGGTGTAATGATTATTGCATACTAAATGAGTAATAAATGCGGCTAGGTTATTGCAATATAAATTTGGTTTCTGGTTTGGTACTTTGGCAAGAAAAATACACTCTATTAAAATTAAGTGAAAATACTTTTTTTAAAGTAAAACAGGCTAAAGCCATTTCAATTGAACCAACTATTAGTCAATTCCACCTATTAAATAAGGGAGTAAGATGTAACATGAGTGAGAGACAATGAGAGTGAAAATAAGTGTAGGGGTGGAATTGAAGGGCGAGAGATGAAGAACAATTGAGCAAAAACAGGACGGAAAGGGAACAAGTGAGACAAATGGGGAAAGTGCAAGAAGTATGCAATCCAGTGAGGGTTGGGAGCAAGGGTAAATGACTGTCAAGCGTGAGTTCATGTTTGGTGATTAGGTGGGTGTGAGGGCCAAGGTGGAGGTACTAATCTCAAGCATAGGGTCAAATCAAGATAATACAAGTTTAATAACTCTTACACTCTCCTCAAGATATTAAAAAAAATAAAATTAACCAAAAAATTTTATAGCTTCCAATGGCAAAGGAATTTTAGTTAAAACTTTGGATATAGCTTTCAATGACAAAGGAGTTTTAGTTAGAACTATGGGGCGTAAAAGAAGAGCAAATGAAGAGTAGGTAGACATTCATTTTGCAAAAGTAAAAAGGAAGAGGAAAAATAACATCTGAAAATCAAAAGGAGGTTGTTGTGGGTTTTGCAAAAGGAAGAAAGAGCAAGAATTCTGAGGTGTATATAAATGAGAAAAAATTATAAAACATATGTTAATTAATGACATCCGAAATTGTTAATTAAATTAAAGTTGACAATTGATAATTAATAATTTTATAAATTCAAAAATATAGAAATAGCATTTAAATAAATGGATTAGAAAATAAAAAATTTTATGTAGGATTTGGATATTTATTTATTTAGAGTAGATAACTTATTTTATTACAACAAATTGATAAACTAAAAAATAATAAAAATTGTAAAATTAGATTCATGAAAAGCACTGTTTTTCTTGTCAATATATATATATATATATATACATACACTAAAAACAAATTAATTAACAAAGAATATCTTATGTGTGTGATTATAAATTATAGGCATTCAATTAAAGGAGGTGGAGTTTAAGAACTAAAGGGCATAGGTAAATCATTTGAGATTAAAGTGGGTACTCATAACTTTAAATTATAGCATTTTTATAGTTCCTCTATACTAATCGATCAATTGATGCTAACACCATTATTACAAATTCACATATAATTTATTTCTATCAATATCTTTAGTAACGTTGAAATGAATGATATACATATCATGTCATACTTCAAATATTTATATTGTACGTATCATATAATAATGAGCATTATAGAAAGATATTAAATGTTAGAAAGAATGCAAATGAAATGATTTATATAAATGTTTGCATGTATATGTTGATTGATGAAGTTCACTCTCTCGTGATTTTTATTTATGTATTATAAATGTTGTACAAACAGAAAAAAATGATTTGTTAATTTGGAATAGAATGAATTTTATGACTTAATGGCTCTTTTGATATATTGAAGGAAAACATTAGGCTTGGCTCGCTTGGGCAAGCACAATCAAGATAATTAGTGTGACTATAAAGTAAACAAATAAAGTTTATGTACAAGATTAAGAGGAAAAAGACCCAAAAGTAGCATGGATAGAAGTTGTGCAAATACATGAAATATCTAAAAGGTTCGCTACTTTAGATAATGGTAAGTAGGAATAAATGGAGAATAAGAATGCATAAATCCGTCCCGCCGATCCCAAATAATTAGGATATCATTAATGATAAAGATGACTAGTAAAAAAACTCGAAAGGCCAAATTTGAAAGACTTTCAGATAACTTGCCCAAATTAATACATATAATATCAGCCTCTAGTACTTGGATTAAAAACAATTATACTATTTTTTACTGGATCAAAAAAAGATAAGAAAAAGGAGAAAGAATTAATGAACCGTTGATAAGCACCAAAATTGGTTCCTTGTCGTAAAGTGATAAGCTATTAATCAACTTAGTAGTAGTCACAAACAAATGGTAAAAGCTCATTCAGCCTATAATAAAGTCCAACATTTATGTGTACTACCCTGCAATCAAATGTCAAATGTCCATATAAGGCATTTACCAAAAGCGAAAAAAAATAAAAATTTTATTAGAGAAAAAAAAACAACGAACGGAAATTAAAAATAGAATCAATCAAGCTAAACAGAACAATAATGCAAACGAAATTGATTGAATCCTGCCGAGACCAACTTTTCTTTCATAGGAAAGCAAACTTTTAATAGTAAGAAACATCTCAACATCACATCAACATGCAAGTCACTAATGAAAGTACCGAGGGAGAAAGTTTATTGAGTTTCTTACCGAAGCCGTCTTTTCAGATTTAAGTCGGTTCTTTATAAAGTTGGCTAGTTTTTTCGAGTAAACCTCTCCTGTTTCCTCCTGTTTCACTGCTCAAAAAGGCTCAAAAAGAAAAAAAAAAACAAAAAACAAACAAAGAGGAAAGGTTCATAATAATGGTCACAACAGCGACATTCAAACTAATTAACAGTGGAATAACATAGTTACCACAATTGAAACTTAGCAATGCAAGCTAGTTTTCTATTCAAGCCAACAAAGATATTTTCTCTATTTCTTGTTATAGAAATTGCTTGGGAAGGAAAAATTATTTCACTTCAATATTCACATGTAAGGTACACATATATATAAGGAATCAAATCCCTCCTAATTTACAAACACACCAGATATATCTAATCTCAATTTGGAAAGGAAATAATTCTGAGATAAAAATAACAAAAAACTCAGATAGGAAGAGAATAAAACTAATACGATGTTTCTAAAGTTTTCTCCTAATTCAATCTTTCATGATAGGTAGGCCGAACCACCAAAAAAAACTGTCGATTACTTTTTGATTTTCCACACTCTCTCAAGCTGGCTCATAGATGTTGTAGAGGTCAAGCTTGGTATTGTACTCTGAGAAGGAACTCAAAAAAAGAGCTTTTGTGAAGACGTCAAGTTGTTGGAGTGTCAGGATGTAACTTAGCTATATAATTCCACCAATAACATTTTCAAAGATGAAGTTCCTATCAAATTCAATATGTTTGGTCCTGTCATGATGTGCATGATTCTTAACAATATTACTAGTTGTTTGACTGTCAAAAAACACATGTATATGATTATTGAAGGTACACCCCAATTCTCTTAATAATTCTTTAATTCGGATTCCTTCACAGATTCCAAGATCAGTGCCATATACTATAATTCTACACAGTTTCTAGGAAGAATACCTTGTTTCTTACTTCTCCATGTAGCCAGATATCTTCATGCATATGAGCAACTGACATGTGCTAAAACTTCTTTCAATAAGTTCCCAGCCCAACTCGCATCAGTGCAAACTTCTACCTCTCTGTTTCTTGTTTTCTCAAAAATTAATTAATAACCAGAAGTCTACTTGAGAAACCTCATAATCTTGTACATCATCTCAAAATGCTCTTCATTTGGGTTATTCATGTGTTGGATCATAATGCTGATAGAGTATGCAACATCTAGTCTCATATGTGGCAGAAAAAAATTTTTCTACCAATTTTTGATGTCTTCTCTTATCCACAAATACTCTTCCTTTTCTCCTATTAGACTTCTTGTTGGGATCGATTAGAGTATCAACAAACTTGCATCCAATCATTCTTGTCTCCATTATTAGATCTTGGATGTATTTTCTCTGTGATATAGCGATGCCTTTCTTGGACCTTGCCATCTCATGCCTATAAAATATTTCATAGTTCCTAGATCCTTGATTTCAAACTTAGTGGCAAGCACTTCTTTGATCATTACCAGTAAAACACTCTTCGTGATTGTTTAAGCCCATAAAGTAATTTCCTAAGCCTGCATATTAGGTATTTATTGGAGTCATTCTCAAGGGCTGGTTGTATCTCCATAGACACTTCTTCTTCCAGATCCACATTCAATTAGGTTTTTTTAATGTTGATTCAATCTCTATTCCTAGTTAACTACTATTGAAATGAAAACTCTAACAGTGTTTAATTTGACAACCGGTACAAAGTCTCGTGAGAGTCAATCTCACAGGCTCGAGTGAAACCTTCTGCAACAAGTCTGCTTTAGAATCTCCCAATACCCTCATTAGCTGTGTATTTGATGTTGAACACCAGTTTGCATCCGACTGGCTTCTTATCCTAAGAAAGTTTAGTAAGAATCCATGTCATTATGCTTCAGTGTTTGAATCTCCACTTCAACAACTTTTCGCCAATCTAAATTTTCCAGAGCTTCATGAATGAATTTAAGAATTTGCACACAATCAATATTATAAATAAAATTTTTGTAGGATGAGAATAACTTCCTATACTTTACATACTCCTAAATTGGATATTCAATGCAACTTTCCTTATCGCTCACATCAAAATAGAAAAGAGATAGTTCATGAGTACTAGACTCCTGACTCAAAATTGTAGGTGAATGCCAACTCGGATTTTGGTTTGAGCTAATCTATACTTGCAAGTTGTCTTCCACCTGCTCAAGGCTATTCTTCCTAATTGTGCACAAACAAAGTTCTTTATTATGAACTTCAGGTTGGGTTTGTTGGATTGATTGAACATTCTCAACCAAAATAGGAGAGCTATGTAGAGTAGGTAGTGAGATCGTATAGATGTCATCAAGTGCATTCCAAAATTGATGTTCATTGGCACACTCTCCCTAAACATCAAATTTAGTATGATTGATTTTCAAAAAATATGACATTCATGGAGTTGAAGTATTTTTTGATAACAAAAGAATAAAACATCTATTTGTTAAATACATATCCAAGAAAAATACACTTGAAAGATTTTAAATCAAATTTTTCGTGATTTTAGGGATGGATGCGAACAAAAAAGATATGCACTTTAAAATTTTAACAGTATAGTAGAAAAGAATGCTCTAATGTGATGATAGATAACCATCAAAATATGAAGAGGTATTTTGAAGTTAAGTATTTGTCTAGGCATTCGATTGATAAAGTATGTTGTCGTAAGATCTGTTATATCCAAAAATATTTTGAAAATTGATGAGAAATAATATTTGAACAGAATACCTCAAATAGATGTTTGTTCTTTCTCTCGGTTATCTCATTTTTTTTTGTAGGGTATCAATACCTGAACTCACACCAATAATTCCATTTTTTAAAAAATGAGACCCAAGAATGCAATTAAAAAATTTATTTGCATTATCAGCATTGGAATTGAGTCGGAATCATTTCATTTAAGGTTTGAAAGATTTGGCTTATGTTAGATTACTCCTTCATTATGAATACCCAAATTGTTCTAGCGTGATTATTAATAAATGAGACAAATCACCTAGCCCCACTTTGAAGGTCCACAAATATCACCGTGGAAAATTGAAAAATTGTGTGAGGCTTTAAACTTAGTCATTGGATAACTATTTCTACTGTGTTTAAGAAATTGACAAATTTCACATTGATAAAAACTAAAATTTTTATTAATCAACAAATGTTGATACAACTTAACAAAGTAATTGAAATTAGAATGATCCAGGAGATAATTTCATAACATGACCTACTTTTGACTGAAATTAACTCAACAGATTAAAAAATTTAAGATAAAATGGAGGTTAGATCATTTATGTGTTTAGAGAGACAAATTTCATGAGCAAACATAAATCTTGATGCATTTAAACATTGTCAGTCATTTTTCCCAGCTCTACCACTAGAAATTCACAAGAATTTGCAAGAAATTTAGTTATACATTTCATATCATAAGTAAACTTAATGATTGAAATCAAATTACAGTCCAACCATGGGACATAAAAGTGTGGAAAGAGGGAAAGAGTGATATTTTGAGAAAGCTCCACATCTCTTTTTTCAACAATTTTTGAATGTGATCCATCAACAAGTTTGACAAACCAAGATGTAGAAGCCCCTTTGATAGTTGACTAGCATTGATGTCTTCGGTCATATGATCATAGGCTCTTGAATCTATGATCCAAATTCTTAATCTCCCATTACTGGCAAGAAGCGAGAAAAATATATTACATTGGTGCATCACGAGGTTGTTGTGTTGTTCTAAATTATCTCTAAAAAGTTCTTTTCAAAAGTTCAGGCGTTGTCTGGACAAACTTTATGGTCTCTACTTCAGAACTTTTGAGTATAATTTGACGTCTCACTCCATATTTGGCCATAAACCCTATACATATATAAGGTTGATTCTAGTTACAGGAAGGGGGTTGATTATTGTTTCTGCAGGTAAAGGAAGGACTGCTTCCGGAAAGAAAGAAATTTGGCTACTGATGATGTTGTCGTTGCTTGCTGCAGGACAGGAGAATTTTGTATAAAATGGTGCCTACAGAGAGAATCCAATGGAAGAGAAAGCAAGAAATTAAAAAAATTTCTGAAGACATCTACGTACATAACACCCAATTCTTATGACAGATTGACAATTAGGGTGCAGACCACAACGAGAAAGCAAGAAATTAAAAAAATTTATGGGCATTTACATATGTAGAACCCAATGGCCAATCCTTATATATTTACTTATTTAAATACATACCACCATGTTCTAATGAACTTACACATCTAAACCTAAATGCAGAAAATACACCAAGGAAAGCAGGATTTGAGGAAACCCTAGGAACATTTACATACCACCCAATGCTTATGTATTTACAAATGAACATCTAAGTTTTTCTTTTTTAATTTATAAAAATAAAATTTTTTATATTATTTCAAAGATATCACTATATTAATTTTTATGTATTATTTATTTAATTATTTCTTATTTCGAGTCAAAACGAGCTGAACACGAATAACAAACCTTTGTTTAGAAATCAAGCTAAAAAAATTGTTCTTGTTCGACTTTTCCAATAGAAACTCCAAAGTTAAGTGTGCTCGTCATGAAACACTCCTGTGATGGGTGACTTTTTAAGGAAGTTGCGCCAACTGGGCAAAAACTATAAGCCCACAAGGCCGAAAAGGACAATACCTTGATGAGTGAAAATTCAGGCCATAAGACAATTCTAGAAAACACAAAAGAAAGACACCTAGAAATTGCTTGGAGAACATGAACCCTATGCTTTAGAAAAGAATCACAAATTAAAAATAGTGCACAGGCAATATCATTCAATTAAAATGAGGGGGCAAAAAACAAATAATAAATTTATGCCAAAAGTACATATTAAACCTCAAAATTGCATCTCCGCCGACTCTTCCCCTAACATTATCTTGGCTCTCACCATGCCTAGTTAGCAAAATAGGGCGGGGTGTGAGATGAGTATTCACCTGAAACAACAATAAAGCAATGATTATTATGGAAGAACTAAAAGAACACTCTACAAAAAAATGCCATTACTGGAAAAAGTTGAGTTGTACATTAAAACCTGACTGATCAAACCTGAATTTTCTTATTAATAACAAATGGCATCATGTTTTACTAAAGAACATGAGAGAAAAACTAAATTGGCACAAAATATTAAACAATATATTCCTCGTCTAGCACATATCACATTGAAAACATTAGAAATATTATCAATTTAGCACCATACATAGGCCAATGACTTTAAAGAGCATTATGAAATATAAAAATAGTACAAAATTAAATCCAAACAAACATCCTTCAGGTATTGAAGGTTATCCAGCTAGTTTGTTTTAGCTCAAAAGATTATATTTGTCAGACTTTTTAAGCTCTCTCAACAGGCTTTTCCAATTAAAATTTTAAAAAAAAAACCAAAACCTAAATTAAACTCCATGTACAAGTTTAGCATCCATCTCAAAAATGATTCACCTCTGAAAATCCAAATATATATTTTGGAGGCTTTGCAAGAAAAGGTCTTGAGCATTTCAAAGAGGAAAGGAAGAGAACTGAAAGCATGCATGCTAAGAAAAAAAAAATGCCCCCACACGGAGTACAAACTACCATGATCTACATTTTTCTTGCCTTCGATGACAACATAACATAACCAATGCTACAAGAAAAATGTATTAAAAAAATCAATTCTTGGTTTCTTATTCTAGCCACATATTCCTACTCATCGGGGTAATAATTTTAGTCAAGCTCTAAACAAACTCCACTAGGGATGATAATTTTAGTCGAGCTCTAAACTTACTCAAACTCACAAGTTTTCAGTTAATTCAAAATTGATACATGTTATTTCCATTCGAGTTATGACATAGCAGCTAGCTTGAAGTTTGATTCGAGTTGGCTTGAATCAAATATTTACATATAAATCTATCTCGTTATTTTTATTATTTATTATTATTATTATTATAACAATAAAATTTCATGTTATACTTGAAAAAAAAACTATTAAATATATTATATTATTTACTGGTTTAATTGTTGAAATTATAGTGAGTTTTATTTTTAGCGTGTTCCTTTTAGGTATTTCCTATTTTTCAAACTTCTTATTATTAGTCAGTTGTAATTTCTATTTCCTGATTTCAGCAAGGGTATTTGATGGCTTGCCCCAATTTTGTAGTGCTATATATCTTGTAACGTTTCCTACGGAAGTGAAGAGGAATAATTATTCTTACACTCCCAAACTCTATATGATAGCAGAGATGGTTATCGTTGTTGAAATTATGATCAAAACTTGTCGGCCTGGACGTCCGTGAGTCCTGCAGATGTTGCGAACGCCTCTGCTTTGCTCTACTCGTTCTCAAAAACCAATTAAAAATGTTACAAATGACTTGTGTGACCTTCCTTTGGCAAAGCTTCCCTGGCAAAGCTTGATCCGAGACTCCAGATCCGATCGTGCCTCTTTCAATGCTATTTCTCTGGCATCGTCAGTGCTGTTCGAACCAACGACCAATTTCTCGAACCCACGATCACAAGGTTAAGAGCCTTATTTATGCATTTCAAGCAACCCATATCAAAACCAAAAAGTGTTTACTTTTTCCCTGAGAAAGACGCTACACGTTGGCCATAGATGATACCCTTCTTAGAATATGAGAATGTCATACAAATCATTAATGATCACAAGAGCCTAACAAAATTTTGCGATGCTTTCCAATTCGAGTATTCCAAAATCACCTTACCTCACCAAACAGTCCCTCTCATGGGTGGATCGACCAAGTATTATCCCTAGAATTCACCATATCTCAGTTATAAAACTCAATGGGCACAACTATATTGAGTGGGCTCAATCCAAAAAATTGGCGATCAATAAGAGAGGAAAAATTGGATATTTAACCAAAGAAATTTCAAAGCTTATTGGTGACCCGAATTTGAAAAAACAGCAATCCAAAAACTCTCTGGTTATGACATAGCACATCAACTCCATAGAAAATGTCATATGAAAGCCGCATTTATTCATTCCTACTATTTGAGATATTTGGGAGGTCTTTCGAGATCAATATTCAGAATTAGATAATTCTTCTCACATTTTTTAATTGTTAACTCAACTTTGAAAATCTAAGCAAAATAACTGTGATGCTACTATATATTACAATGAGTTAATAATATTATAATAGAAGTTGAATCAATGTTATGATGACATTTGGGAGAATTCAAATGACTATACTCACCATAAGAACAAAAAACAATGATCGGGTCAAAATATTCTTAGCCGACATTAATTGGAGTTTAGATGATGTCCGAGGTAACATCCTTGGTAAGAAACCTATACCCTCTATTAGAGAAGTTTTTTCTAAATTTAGACATGAAGAGTTAAAAAAATATATGTTCGACAACACCGGACTTTCTTGTAACATTAAACACAAGAACTCAACCCTTGTGTCAAAAGGAATTGATACTGACAAAGATGGATATAAGAAATCATGGTGCAAGCATTGTAAGAGATTATGACACACAAAGAAGATATGATCGAAGCTTCATGGTAAAGCTGTGAATTAAAAATCAATATCCAAGCACAAAGATTGAGCTTATCAGGCACTGCTAAGGAAATTCAAGAGCCTTCTACAAACTCGGATGCAATTCCTTTCACCAAGAAGCATTTAGAGCACTTCACAAATTATTTTAATCTCCAAAATTGTCCCCAGCTCCGTCTTGCTCTTTAGTATAGAGGGGAAACTTTTTAACAACTGCATTGATAAGTGATCCTTCTATATACCATGCAGAGATAATAAAAAGGTCAAAATTGTGGATGGTTCCTTCTCGATAATCTCTAAGATGGGAACTGCCAAACTCATCTCGTTGTTAACCTTCAATATGCTCTCAATGTTCCCAATTCGTCTTATAATTTATTATCCATTAGTAATATTACTATTGGCCATCAATATCAAGTTAATTTATATTCTTCCTGTTGTGAATTTCAAGAATTGATAACTGGAAGGTTGATTTTCAATCCTAAAAAAATAATATACTTCATTATTTTGACGATGGAATAAACTCAAATAGAAAATTTCATTGACGAGGGGATGCCCTCTAAACCAGCCGTAGGCTCCACTGCTGTGGCTAAAACGTTCAACAAAAGAGGGAAAGGGTTGGCCGACCCTACCTGTATGTGATTTTTGTCGCACATAAAGAGTGGGGGTTAGCTCCTTAGGACCCTAAGGCTAAATATGTAGTTTTTGTCATGTTTAGGTCAAATTTGGGTTGTGTTTTCTATAGGGATACCTATCAGCGTCTCCAGCTCTTCCCTTACAGAGTTGAATCCAAGGACGAGTGGTGCTCCCATCGTATCTTGTTATGAGAAGATAATTATCTTCTAAAGTCGAGTGGTGCTTCGGTTGTATCTCGCTTCCGAGGCTGTGTTTTTCCTCAATTTTCCTATTCTCCGCAAGTCGTCATCCTTCATGCTGCAGCCGCCCCAAACAACCTTATAATTGATGTTTTCTGCAATTCCAGTCGTCGCCTAACCCTCCCTTCTTTTTGCTGACATCGCATTTCTAGCCCTCCACCTTCGTTGTTGGCACTGTTCCATCCCTCGCCTTGCTGTTTTAGTCAATTTCCAGCCATCTGGTGCAGTTGCAGCCATCTAGAAAACCCTTGCCTTGCTATTTTACTATTCTTTGACCATCCTACATTACTGTTGCCGCCAAGAAATCCCTTCACCTTGTTGCTTTACCAATGTTCGACCATTCTACCTACTTACTGTCGCCTAGGACATCAAGCACATGTTATTCCCCCGATGCATTCACTCCTCTGCTACACTTCCCGACCTTGCCACCACCTTTTCAAGCCCCTAATAACCACCGCCACCACCACTATCACCCTAGATCACCCTAGCAGTGTGTCGTATATCCTAATTGTTGTTATTTTTTCTTTTCTTGTGTGTTTGGTTGTAATCACCTATTTGTTTCACTAATAATATTTATTTTTCGAATGTTGTTTGGGTTAACGTAGGTATCGTTAAGTATCAAAGTCAGTCTACCCTAGTATTATCGTAAGGTCACCTAAATCCTCCACTTCTTAACCCAAAATTTCTTGTTCTCAACTAACATCACACACATACACCTTATCCCAACAACCCACACCCAAACAATAATCATGCTGCTATGGAGGCAATTGCTGAAACGTGATCAGAAGTTTACTATGGACTAGATGTAGCGGGAATTTCACCGGTTGCTGCGACGGCTTGCCGAGCTTGAGAAAAGGACCCAAGAGGAGGTCACCATCGAGCGTGGTAACGAGATCTGATGAGATCCCTTTCACCGGGATGATTCTAGTGGAGAAAAATACAGACCACGATACTTTGGGATAAAGTATCAGAGGAGAACAATAGATGAAGTGACTGTTAGAGTATACACAGATAAAGTTTCTGCTAGATGATACAAATATGAAGTGTTTGTTGAACAATACGGAGACTCATAAGTAAATGTGGAAGAAAAGAAGAATACGAATGATTTTATAGAGTGGTTTCAGTGTCAAGTTGGTTTTTGAATACAAAGAGATGCCAAATGACTAAAAAGTGAAGCTTGTTGGAATGAAGGTGAAGAAGAGTACATCGTTGTGGTGGGAGAACCTGAAGGGCTACTGAAATAGGGAAGGAAGAAAGAAGTAAACTAATTGAGAGAAATGAAAAGAGAGTTGCAGAGATAGTACCTACCCCACACTATCGTTAGGATCTTTTTTTGAGGCTCCACTACATAGAACAGAGGGACATATCAGTTGAGTATATAACAGAGTTTAGACAACCTAAGTTGAACTGTGAACTGACTGAGCTAAAGGAGCACATGATAGCCAAATACATGAGAGGCCTGAAGACCATCAACGACATGGTTCAGCTACAACCTTACTGGCCTTTGATTATCGTTCAGACCTTGGCACTGAAAGTAGAGAGACAGTAGAGTAGAGTAAACACCCATTGCCATTTAGATAG